GGCGCGACGCGGGGCGAGAACGCCGCGCGGGATACCGTTGGCCATTGTGGTGGTCGGATTGTCCACGGAGCCCGCTTCGACGTGGCAATAACTGCGGGAAGGGGGGATCAGATCTGACCTCACGAGCGAGAATGTGACTTATCGTGTGCATCATTCGTCCGTATCGGATTTTATCGTTAAGCTATGAAATAATAATAATAATAATAATAATAATAATAATAATAATAATAATAATAATAATAAAGTAAAAGATGTATTATGCTCCTAGTCTTATTGTGAATTATAGATACCAGTCACCTTCATGTTTTTTGTACAGAAATTTTCATTTATGCTGAATGTAAAATGTATTTTTATTTCTTGGCGTGTAGCTAATATTTATGGCGTAAAAATCGATGTATTGAATGACTTTCATTAATGCAGGAAATCAGAAAAAGCTATAATTTTAATACGTATCATTGGCCTCTGAGGCGCGGGGGAAGGCATTGTGAAGCACCATGGGCATCCTATCCTCTCATGAAGTCCATCTTTTAAATTTTGCGATCAGTTTTTTTATTATTGTCAGCTACTGTGAGCTAGTATCAAACATACACCTATTTTCATCTGCCTTTATCGTAAACAAAAGCTTGAAATTTGATGGCTGTAGTGACAAGAGTATGCATTCAAAACTACCCTAATTCTTGTTAGTGCATATTTCGATGCCGTAATAAGAGTAAATGTATTTGGAAGATCCTGAACCGGCTGAAAAATCTCTCGCGCCGAGGCGTACTGTCTGTTTACGCGTAGATTGTATGAGCGCAAATGTCGCCGTGGAGACGCTGGCCCGGCAGGAAGAGGGCGACCTTGCGGGCGACAGCTGTTGAAATGTGGGCCCACGGTTGTGAAGGACGATCGAATGTCCTTGTGTGGGTTGGGACTTGCGTCCTTGGTTGGGCCTTTTGTGATGTGAATGCCCTACCCGTGCGGTAGGCGACAGGTCAAAACACACCTCCAATCAGATATTTTACTGCCTTAGGCGTAAGATAGTTGACAGTCAAATCTTTTATCGAAATAACAGATGGAAGGAAAGGAAGTTAATTTTTTTTCGTTAAAAAGAAAAATAGATTTGAAATAGAAAACGCGGCGTCGTTTCCAAAGTAATGAATGCAAATTAATTATGCCAAAGCATTGCACATGTTTTACAATTTACAAAGGTTGATATAATTTAATGAATATTAGAGGATTCTTCCCCCTTAACATATATTTTTTTATTTATATTATGTGCAACATAAATTAATTCATAACATAAAATTATATTTTATTATAGATTCCTACGTTACTAATTAACTGCATTTTCTTATCTTATATTGCACTACATTATTATCAAACGAAGAGCAATGCCCCCGTTTGCTTTATCGGATCATTATCATTAGTAGCGGTACGGTATGAAATTAAATTACCCCGATAGACGTAGGTGGTCTCATTGCAGTGCAAACGATGCCCGCACAACAGGTCTTCCGATAGTTATTCGTTTGTTATCCCAACTGATCTCATCTGATAATGCTTTAGTTTTCTCTTGCTCCGTATATTGTGTGCGATATGCACTGTATGTTTTATAAAATGTGTAGTCATCCTGTGTTACAAAGTTCTGTGTGTGCGAAAGCAAGTAGACCATCGTAATTTTCAGGTGTTTGATTTACATGGAAATGAAGCTGGTCTAAGCCGGTCTAAGCCGAGATTCGCATTTTTCCTTGCAATGTTAAAGCCGTGGAAAACTTTTCGTTTTTGGATTCCAGGCAGAAAACGTAAACCCATCAACGCGATTATAACCATACTTGTCGTTTTCCTGAACCCAGTTCATAGAATTTACAACTTGGTCATTTGTCATAATAGAATTATGAAAATTAAATTTCTTTTATTGTGAAGCGTTTAACTCTGTATCGTATTACAGTACGGTATGTCCAAGTTGCCTCCTTTTCGTGATTAAGAGATGCTTCTAAAAACTCTGAGGCGTTTGTCAAGAAAATGACTAATAATGATTTATTTACCTAGGGTGTGATGTAGATGTTTTTGCTCCGAGGGCAACTCCCAAATCCAAGAGCAGTGGTGTAACGGTCGGGCCCGCATATGATAGCCTAGATAAAAGAGGCCCGTTTTTGGGGGGATATTTTTATTATTTAAGGTAGTAACACTACTTGTGTCAGCTTTACACTTTTATAAAGGGGGCCCGGATAAATGTTTTGCGGGCGAGTGCGTACTTATTCCGTTACGCTACTGCCACTGACCCCAGGGTTTGGAATCGCCTGAGGTGCAAATACATAAAGTGACGCCTGTGTCGCATAATGTGTTTATGATTTACCATTTCGTTTCTGAAGCAAACGAGAATTCGATACATCAATACATTTGTTTAGCATTAAAAGAAAATAGAAGCACAGAAATCACGAGTCGTAAATGAGGCGTAAGATAAAGAAAACAGTGCGTACCTAATTACCATTGTATCCTCCAAATTGAGTAGGTTTGTTTGCAGAATATGATAACATTCTAGCGGAAATTATTTCGAGAAATGTAACAAATTTAAGGAAAGGTGGTTTCTAGTTAAATCTCCAATAGTATATGAAAAGGAGTGTGGTACTTTCGAGGCTTGGATGGAAAATAAGTATACTAACTAGTTTAAATGAAAAAGTAGTTTCAGGTTACTGTTTATAGAGGCACAAAGTACACGTCCGACGGTCATATGTGTAGTAATCTCTCAGTTTTTGCTAAAATATTGCTTAGAAGTATCGGATACCCAGCCTTTGCCTGTTCCCCCAATTTTTTTATAGCGGCAAATTACCCCATTTTAAAAAAAAACAGCAACAAAGTAATGGGAATCTGCCCCATTAATAGTTTTGTTTTCACTTTCCCGCCGCCGACCGACTGAATCCCGGAGGCTTGCTTAAGCAGTAGCGGCGCGGCCACGGGGCTGCATGGATGTGCGTGCAGTAGTCACTCAGTGGCTGTGACAGCTCGCTCGAGCGCAGGCGAGGAGGCCAGACGGGCCGGGCCGCGTCCCGCGACGCCACTCTCGCTGACGCCGCGGGCGCCCACGTGCCTCGCTCCCCTCCCCTCCCCCTCCCCCCCACTCCACGCCTACGTCGGCCGAGCGAGCAGGGCAGCGCGGCGGCCCACGGCAGCCCACGGCGGTTCCGCGGCGAGCACGGGAAGCGAGTCGTAACCGAAATTATCGCGAAGGTTGGGAGAGCGTGCATTGTTGCGAGTCCGTAACTGAGGAGTGGTGTGCCGGGAGGTGCAATCCCTACGGCGAGAGGATTTTTCCGGCCAGTGAAAGAGCTGGGGCCAAGCCGACCGCTTCCTAAACCGCGGTTTTCGTAATTCTGCTCCTGGCAGATATCAGCTGTTCGCAGTTTCAGCTAATCGGGGGATTGAACGTCACCAGAGTGACTTCACTATGGTGACGTTCGAGCTCCCTATTGGATGAAACCGTCAACAGCTGATACCTGCCAGGGACAGAAATGCATAAATCGCAGTATAACCGGGGTGTGAATTGGCCATTTTCTCCTAGGGGACGTAAATGAAACCACCTCGGAAATTACGTTTTCAATGTTTTACTTAATTTTTAATGTAATAAGTAACGTACACACGCGTGACCACTTATCCAACTTGTGGACTCTGGCTGCTACCTTATCAGCAAGCTCGATGCTTAATGAAACTGGATCAATTAACACATTTGTATCTATCAGTCCAAGTTGCTTTTTGAATGTCCTTGATAATATTTCGGTCATCACGTTGGAGCGCGCACGTTCCTGCTTTCCCATTCAATCTTCATTTCATTTCCGTCCTTATGGCCGAGCAATGTGTCGATCATTCTAATGTAACCTACCTCTCGTTGACCGAGAAAATCTCCGACAATCGTCGGAGATTTGGGATGCAGACACCGGTTCGAATCTCCTTTCACAACATTCATTAAAGTAACTTGAGTTGTGAAAAGGTATTTTTCATTTCTTGAGAACACGTAAACAAATCCAACAAAATTTTATTTCGGAGAAATTATGTAATAATCTCCACTCCACCAACTTTTCATTGTTCAACAGTGCACATACCTAACGTGCTTATCTGTGAGTAAAATGCTCAAGCTCGTTATTGATATAATTCCGTTTTCCTTTCACGCCGAACAGCAGCGTGGCGGCGAGAACCACGATTGCATCGCGGCGAGGCGGTAGAGTAGCAGCGGGCGTGCGAGTGGGCGTGCGAGTGGGCGTGCGAGTGGGCGAGTGGGCGAGTGGGCGTGCGAGAGG